AATCCAAAGAAGATTTACTAAAACTGCTTAGAGATTATTGGGACTCACTTCCCAATAAACAAAGATTGTGTTGTAAGATGAGAAACCAACTGCAGGCATTTTTAAAAAAGTAGCCCCCCCCCAACTTTAAATTAAAATGGTTTGCTGCAGTAATAAAGCAAAGCAGTCTGAAAATCTCTTGTAATGATGAACAGCCTCAGTGGGAGCCACAACCAAGAGTGCCATTCTCCTCTCCAAGAAACTCAGTACCAAGTGATGATAACTGAAGAGAGCAGTCACTAATCTTACGGTGGAGTAGCACCATTTGTGTGCATTGGCACCTCTTCATGGAAGCTACTGAGCACTTCAGCTTGTATGAAATTAACACTGAAAAGCCTGCATAAGGAACCACCTTATGAAATTACAAGTTCTCACAAGTGAAACCTCCACATAACTGCTAGCTGGAGGCTCTGAACACTAATGAGGTGGTTGCACAGGGCCTCCAGTTAGCAACTGTAAGAATCATAAAACGACATCAAAAGTTTCATAGCAGAACACCCACTATCAAAGCAAGCATCCAAGGCAGCAGCTTCACTACCCTGACCATCAAGACAGCTGAGGAATATCTTTCTGCCCTGCAAAGAGTTTCTACTCTGCAATTATGTCCATAAAAGTTACTAGCTTAACTTCCATGTTCAAACTCTCTTCTAGAAGCAAAAAGCTTCCCTGCAGGATCACCTAGATAGGTGGGTGTTGTTGTTTAGTCGTTTAGTCGTGTCCGACTCTTCGTGACCCCATGGACCAGAGCACGCCAGGCACTCCTGTCTTCCACTGCCTCCTGCAGTTTGGTCAAACTCGTCCCCTTCTCCTTGTGCCCTCCATCTTTCCCAACATCAGGGTCTTTTCCAGGGAGTCTTCTCATGAGGTAGCCAAAGTATTGGAGCCTCAGCTTCACAATATGTCCTTCCAGTGAGCACTCAGGGCTGATTTCCTTCAGAATGGAGAGGTGGGTAGGTATTTGCAAGCATCCCCCTGGCATCCTCTTTCACTGTTCTACTCATCTAGTAGATAGGAAAACTCCCCTCAACATTCTGACTTAAATCTGCAACCTTGTACATAAAGGAGAGAGAATACTGCAAAAAGAGAGACCTGGCTGCTTGTTTTGATTTCCTTCCTCTTCCATTTTCCTTTTACAGCTCTAAATAGACTCCCGGACCAGCGAGGAGCATTAATTGCACCAGTCTCCATTTAGCTGGCATTTAGGTAATGCCGCACTAGAGATGCATATAACTTCGAACTTTCTGGATTAGAAAGGGGGATCTCGTGCTCTCTAAAACATGATTGCTGCTATTGTGTATTTACACTTCTGCCACCATGCCTGCCTGTAACATGACAAACTGGACATGATGTTTGCCTTTATTAAGATTCCAATCCAAGGATAAGGAATCTTATGTTGCCTTCTAGGTGTTATTGGACTATAGCTTCCCTCATCCCTGACGGTTGTCCATGTTGGTCAGAGCTGATGGGAGTTGAAGTCCAGAAGAATCTGAAGGAGCATGGGATCTCTAGCCCTGTTCTTAACTTATGAGCTGAGGTTAGATTTATAAGACATACAACTCAAAAACACCAAGGTACTGAAATAATGTGTTAGTATGTAAATCAGGACTGGCCTGGGACATTTTGCTGCTGGAGTCAAAATGCCCCGCTGCCACCATCTCCTCCTCCACAGGCGCTCCCTGCTGCCACCATGTGGGGTGCAGCAGTAGTGGGGTATGGGTGTGGCAACAGTGGGGTACAGCAGCAGAGGAAGCAGGGCACACCCACACAGGAAATGGCAGTGGTGAGCTTTGTGCTCCTCATGCCCTGATCTGCCGCCTGAGGTGACTGCCTCACCTCAGTTCATGCGCAGGCCGGTACTGATGTAAAGTATGTAGCTTGAAGATCAGCTTAATAGTGCCTACTGAAAGTTGGCAAACAAGAACATCTCAGAAGCAGCTTCAGAAAAGCCTCAGGCAAGTTTCCAGGGAAATAGAAACCATAACTACATACTATAGATGTTGGTTGATTTTTTACAACTTTGACTGCCTTCACTTCCCAAAAGCATTCTGGGAATTGTAGTTGGGGGAAGCTTGATCTGCTAAAGACAATAACCCCCTTTTTCACAACAACAGTTCCCATGTTTCCCTGGGCAGAGGGAAAGGTTGCTTAACTGATTAAGTTTGTAATTGGGAGAGTATGAGTGAATATGTGAATGTGTCAATTTTAGTTTTGCTTTTTCTCGGTTTCTCATTTTTCCAATCATAAATTCAGTTCTCAACATTTCCAAAGCAGTCTAATTTTTTTAAAATGTCCTCATGAAAATTCACCAGCATTTTAGTGCAAATTTATCCTAATATACACATTTTCCCTGATATAATGAATTTTCTATGTTATTTTCAGTAAGCTACTCACTTTTGCTGACTTTCCCCTTAAAATGTGCGTTTTTGTGCATGTAATTTCACTGGAGAACTCCACTGCAATTCAGAGAAGGATGGTTCTGTTTTAGTCAGTGTATTGTTTTGCAAAGTTCAAATTAGGTAGTTCGCTTTCGAATGGAAACTGAATTGAGTTGCTTGCCCCATCTGACCCAGAGCTTTGCTCCAGTTCAAGAAGCGTGACACTGAAGCTGTGCTCCAGTTGTTCCACACATGTTGTCAGCACATTAGTACCTCAGATGAGCTGGCCTTTGGGCTGGCTTAATTGTGCAATCATTGAAAACCTACAGCAAGCAGCTGCTGTGCCTTTTATGCCTCAGTGCTGGTCTGCTGTTTTAGGCCTCCAAAATGGAGTACACTTATTCTAAGCTGATGATAATTATTGCAATGCATCATCCCTGTAAAATAAGCTTCCCAAACGTCCAAAGAGATCTTGCATTTAGCAGCGGACAGCAGCCAGAGAGGAGCGGTGGATGTTGGCGGGGGAGATTATATTCCCTCCAAGGAGGGAGTGGAAAGAAGGCCCCCTTGTGTCAGAATTAATGAAGATTGATGTCCACCTCTACAGCTCCTTGAAGGAAATGCAGCCATTTCCTTCTGCACACTCCAGGTCTTTCACAGAGCATCGGCTTCAAAGCGTGCAGTTAAGGATAGTCAGGAATGGAGCATCAAGTATGACCTGTTCCAGATAATGATTTAGGCCAAATGCATTGCTGAAAGGTGAGAGCTGCTGCCTCTGCTGTGACTGCAGTCAGGCTTGGAGCAGATAAGTTGTTTATGCCCTGGACTGGCTGCTTATAGTCATTCCATGAAACTATATTGGTCTAAAACCACATAGGGCCCCCACTCTTGCTGAAGCTAAGCAGGTCAGGATCTGGTAATATACCTTGGGTTCCGTGATGGAAGAAAGGTACAATCTAAATGTATGAAAAGAAAGAAAAACAAAAAGCCCATAGTCCACTGGTGCAAAAGATGTTTCTAACGCAAAAGGGCCAAGATTCAGTTCTTGATATATCATCCGTTGAAGGGTAGCATTGGTGAGGAAGGCCCAAGACCCTGGAGAAGCAATGCCATTGTGGTTTATATTTTATTGCAAATTGTATTGCTTTAATATTTTGATGTTTGCTGCCCCCTGGGCTCTTTTGGGAGGAAGTATGGGATGCAAATTTAATAAATAATGAATCAAGCATTTCTCCTCAGCTGGGGTGTTTACTCATAGTTGAATTGTAGAATTGGAAGGGACCCCGAGGGCCATCTAGTCCAACCCACTGCAATGCAAGAATCCTTCCCACAGCCGTCCCTGTTTGGGCTTGAACCACCAAGCTTTTTGGTTAACAGCCAGAGGCACTGACCCATTGTGCCACTCAGGACTCCCTCCCAAGATCTGGTAGCTGCAGTGGTGCATCAGAGCAGGACTTGGCAGCCGACAGAGAAGCCCAATGCCCCACTCAGCAGAATGAGCAGGAGGGGCCCCAGATGTACCAGGACTATATGTTACCATTTAAAGGGAAGAGGCATAAGATCTTTAAGTCAAGTGTCTGGAAAACTGCAGCAGTGGGTAACTCTGCCATTGAGAACAGAAACCTCCAACCGTTTCCTAAGTATTAACTCCCACTTAGGAAACATCTACCAAGCGTCCTAGGCTATTAACTGGTAAATTGACCTAAGAACAGGCAGATCATTTAGCAGCCATAACAGTATGTTTAGGTATCTGTCATCATTACAAGCATGAATGGAAAGAGAATCCTCCTGAAAGCTGTGCAGAACAATATTTTGGGCGCATGTGGCATCTGCGTGCAGCAGAATTCATAATGTGTGAAGCAGCCTTCATTAATCCCGGGTCTCTCCCTTTTCTTCCACTACTTCATGTGAATGGCCTCAGAGCATCAAAGTTCCAAACAGAGGAGAAACAGAGCATAAAGGAGACATAAGCCCTAATTGTTGCAAGCTGCTCTGGAAGTCCTTGCACTGAAGAGCAAAATACCAAATAATTGCAATGACTAAGTAAAATAGAATTAGGCTCTCATTCTTCCATGTAAATAGACTGGTCTGATTCTGTTCTAATATTTGGTGTTCATGGGCTCATTTGGTTCTTTTTTAAAATAATACCACTTGTACACATGTGTGGGAATGCCAATTTAGGAAGAAAACTATTTCCCTGTGCTGCTTTTCCAGAACTCGCTCTGTCTTCTGAATTTCACTGGAATCTAAAGTCTTGCTCAGGGAAAGCTCCATGAATAAACAATCCCAGTGTTTCCTTATGTTTCTAGAAATGGAATTCCTTTTAAAAAAGTAATTCCATTACTTTCTGAGTAAACACACGACAGCCTCTCCCTGTTGGGTAACAGCTCACACAGATATAAAAAATCGCCTGCGATTCATGTTTTGTGAACACTACTGAGGCAGCTCTTTCTCTTGTAGCCAACCATGGTGTATCTTGGGATGTCAATAGAACAAGGCCCAACAGCATCTCTCGCCTCTGAGAACATCTCACAGAACTCTAAAGCTCAGTTTTGCAACATGATGATCTCTTTTGGTTCCTTCTAGGAGTATGACTCTATGATCTCGGTCTCCTGGCTTTTAGCAGATCTTCAAAAGGAGCAAAGATATGCTGTGAAACTGGACTTCAGGTTTCTGCAAAACATTTGCACTTGGTCTTGCCGCGCCAAGACTCCAGGTAAGCCTGCTCAACTAGCTTGCTTTTTATTAAGAAGGAGCTATAGTTCAGGGGTGGAGAACATATTTCGCAAACAAAAGGTCCTAAGATCAGTCCCCAAAGTAGTAAAAACTGGGCTAGAAGGCCTGCTTCAACTGTTTTACTCTTCATGGGAGGGACTAGAACAAGAGGGGAGCTGCATACACAGCATGCCTTAAAGCACATGACTTTGCCCAAAGAATCATGGGAATTGAAGTATTTTAAGAGTGCTGGGAAGTAACTTTGTGGGGGTAAACTACAGTTCCCAGGATTCTTTGGGGGTACCCATGTACAGTGTCTTCACAGCCTAGAAACCTGTGGCCATATAGTTGTTGTTGGACATCAGCCCAATTCACAGTAGTCAAGGATGATGGAAATTGTAGTTCAACAGCTTCCAGAGGGCTACAGGTTCCCCACCCTTGGACCATAGCTTGGTGGTAGAGCCACATGCCTTGCACGTAAAAGTTACCAAATTTAACCCCTGGCATCTCCAGTTAAAAAGCTATTAGAGAGTAGCTCTGAGGAAGTCCCTCATCCGAGATCATGGTAAGCTATTGCTAATCAGAGTTTGCTGAACTAGATAGATTAATGGTCTGAATTGGTGTAAAACAACTTATTTTGACTGTATAAATATACAGTGCCATGTTCCAAATCTTCTTTCTATAATGTTTTTAAAAGCTCAAGACTTCATCACATTCTAGCATTGTAAACAGGGACAAACCTATGTGTATCAGTGCCAGCTCAGTTCAGTGTTTGCCATCACATTGTGTGGGACAATGAGCTGCAATTGGATATGTGACTAGCAAAGGACATAACCTATTTCATCCCCAAAACTGGATGCACGTGGGAGATTGTCCCTACCACCCTACTGATGATCCTGATAGGAACAAAGGCCCATCTCGACCAGCATCCTGTTCTCATGTTGGCCAAGCAGGCTGCCTCTGAGAAGTTTGCAAGCGGGACATGCATGTAAGAGCACTCTTTGCACTTGTGATTCTCAGCAGCGGGTATTCAGAGGCGTACCACCTCAAATTCAGGAGATAGCACAGAATAGGTATGGCTAATGTCCTGTTTACACTGCTTCCCAAACCAGTAGTGGGATTGCAGACTAAACAGATGTGCGGACACAATCTAGGATAAATGAGGCTTGGATAAGGAAGTTTAAAAACATAATGAAAAACCCTGCTGGATCTATTATCTGTTGTCAGCAATATTTGGAAGATCCCAGGCTCTCTGCAGTAGCTGAAGGGGGAGGTGGGCAGAGCACTTAGTCATCGGAAGAGACTGGGAATCTGTTGAAAAAGACAAGGGAAGCTAGCTATGCCAGGATCCGCTGTCTTGAGACACCTGGAGCACCTTGAAACAGCAATGCACCACAGCTTCCCTTACCCTGCACCTTTCTCAGTTGGCACGTGGTCACCAGTCAGTTGGCCAGGAGGTATGTGGCATTGAGACACAAAAGGTTCCCCACTACTGGCCCCTCTAGCCCAACACCTCCTTTCCACAGTGGCCAACCAGATGCTTGCCTCACTTTGCTTTGCCCCCAGCAACTCATGTCCAGAGTCCGGCTGCCTCTGAACCTGAACAAACGTCTACTGTAATAGTTACAGATATTAGGGAGCGTGCTCAGGAGGAGGCCATTTTTCACAGGCTCATGGGGCTTTTAATAAACTGTCAGAACTTTGCTGCAGCTGCGTATGAAAGTTGTCCCAGATATGCTTGGTCCTGGAAGAGTACTGAAGTGCTTACCTCATGCACTGATACTCATGCACTACACCCAGAGGACTCTGCTGCATTCCAAACAATTAACTCACTCAGCCTTGTGGAACACCATCAAAGACAGAACATGGAGTGTGATGGATTGTTGCTTAGTGACCTGAGACATCATGGGCAGAAAGGTGTCTATTCATGCAGCATCTGACAGGTTATTTGGAGCAAGCATGGATGGTGTGTTATTTTTCATTGTGGTTGTGGTATGATAAGGAAGAAGCACAGAGAAGGGCCATAGCTCAGTGGGAGAACATCTGCCTTGCGTGATGCAGGAGGTCCCAGGTTCAATCCCCAACGTCTGCAGGGTGGACTGGGAGGGGCCCCTATCTGAAATCCTTGAGAGTTGCTCTCAATCATTGTAAACAGTACCCAGCTAGATGGACCAATGCTCTCTGTCTCAGCATAAGGCAGCTTCCTAGGCTCACTCTGCACATTGCTTCCAATTCTCCCCCGCCCCTTTTTGTGAATCAATTGCTTCTGGTTATGAAACTACTGTAGACACAAGATCGAACCATTGGTCATATCAAGCCTGGTTTTCACTGTAATTTCATATATTCTGTAAGATATCTGTGCATTGCACCATCATAATTGCAGCAGCATCCATGTGAAGTAGGTAGTAGGCAGGGAAGGGCCATCCTGACGTACTGCTTCTCAGGGAATATGTGGTGGGGAATGTTCAGGGCGGCAGGAGAAGATATATTGTTTATTAATATCCTTCCTAACTTGCTTTACTTAGCATAGTGCATTCCCCTTTACACAGCGGAAAACTAGTTGCAAACCCATGTGAGTTTCTTAAGACAATTCAATCTGGCTTGTCCAGATTGAAATGTGTTCTAATATTTTCCTAGTAAGACCCCTTGAATCCCTCCTAAAAGAAAAAAAGACACTACAGTCTTATTCATAAGCAATAAAAAGAAAGTTTATTCATGATCAGGCAGAACACAGTGTGATCCCTGAAGGCAGGCTTTAGTCTTAAAGATACAAACCTTATACTAACAGGTTTATCCCATAAGGCAGATGACCTGGGGGACTGCTTGGCTGGCAGCCAGCAGTTCAATCCAGGACAAAAAGAAAATGGAAAAAAGAGAGAGTGGCAGCATGCCTTGTCCTTTTACCAGGTCTGGAAAGGTCACGCCCACCCACTAGTCACATGCAAGGAAGGATGCTCCAGGCCAGGAGGAACAGGAAGTCCGACTGGCTGGACCAAACATTCCCTTGCATGTCCGCTCTAGCAAAACAAGGAGTGTTGTACTTGACTGCTCCCAGTGGATTACATCCCACATATGTATATCTTCTTACAGATTTTTTTCTGGCTTAATACTAATTCCTTTTCTCTAGGGTTAAAGGACCTCTGGGAAGTATATTAAGATCAGGGATCTCTAAAAAAGAGATTCTTAGCACCTTGCCAAGTTACAACTCCCAGTACTATTGGAGGGAAGACACAGCAGTTGCACTGGTATGAAGCCATTAGCAACTTGTAGCATAGATAGGGGACATATGCTGCCCCCCCCCAAAAAAAATTATTATTGACCTACTGCTGCAGTACTGTTTTACCATTCAGACACCAGTTCCTGGCTTCCTTTATAATAGAACCAGAGAACTGTGGAGCTGGAAGGGACCATAAGGCTTATCTAGTCCAACCCCCTGCAGTGCAGGAATCTTTTGCCCAACATGGGTCTCAGACTCTTGACCCTGAGCTTAAGAGTATTATGCTGTACCAACTGAGCCTGCTCTTGACTTCTCTCTGTTACACACTTGGGCCAGTGCTTCTTGTCTCCTCCTCATGTGTCAGTTTCACTGTGGGAAATCTTTATATGTGGAAAACAGGTCCAGGGCTTGTAAGCTTGGTTACTATAAGAACAGAATGCTGGACTAGATGGTTCTTTGGGCTGATCCAGCAGGGGCTTCTCTTGTGTTCTTACGCCAGAGATCCCACCATGCAGAGGATTGCAACAGGATTGAAAACTACATGGTAGATTTGTCAGTGGGTCTCCCCATGTTTTTATTTTCATTTCAAAACAGCTATAGGTGGGACTCCAAATTTGATTGGAGAATCGTATTTATAAGTATGGGTGAAAATTTAGAAATAATTGCAGCTTGATTCACCTTGCTATAAGGGGCTTGATTTGAGGCATCAGGAAAGCCTCCCCCCACCCCACCACTTTCCTTTCAGAGTCTTTATAAAAGATCTACTATTCAATCAGCCTCTGACCTGTTTGTTGAGATTGGAAATGTGGCGGCAATGGGATGCCATATTGCCGAACAACAAAAGCAGTATAACCCTGGAATGAATTTTGACAGCTTGAGGTACAGCCAGTTTCCATAGTGGAAAAGTGTTTGCATTAAGCCCACTATGGCTTCTGGTTGGCATCCTCTTTTGCCTTTTCCCCTCCATCTGCTCCGAGAGACAAATTATTTGGAACATATATAGTCGTATTGCTTCAAGTCAGTATTATTCCCTGAATACAGCATACAGAGGTTGGGTATCACTTTCCCAATCCCAGGTTCATCTTCCTGCTCAGCTATGTGAAAAAGTGGATTACCTTTCATCTTAAAATGGCCTCACAAGACTGTCACAAGAATAAAACTAAGAACGGCATTTTCTGCCTTAAAAGTGATGTAGAAATGAGTAGGAATCTTAACACAGAGCAGAGTTATCACAGGAGAAAGCAGCAATATCCATCAATTAGAAGTTATATAAATGTGCCTATTTCCTTTCCATTGTATCATGATCCATCTTTGTCTACACCCAAAGCTGATAACAGAAAGAGAAATAATGTCAAGAACTCTTATATGATCTCAACTTAAGATGAGTATCCTTTTGTATCTTGGAACCAAATGTCACTTTAGATGCATGGCTGACAAAGGCCTTCATCTTCTTCTCTTATAATTTCTCATTAAAGCAGACATGGCATTATTGCACTCAGGGTCCGTCCGTCCCCCACTCCGCGTCATTGGCTGTTTGCTGGTGGGCTACTGGGAACAGACTGTGTGCAATGTTATGTCACGCAGAGATAGAATTTGTTGGTCAGCAGTGGCCATGCCTTGAAAGTAATGTGCCCTTTCAGCTTATGCCAAGTCTTAAAAAGATTGGAACAAAGTAACAGTAACAATAGGGGCTGTTTAATATCATAATGACAAACCAGCCCCTTACGGAACCAGTTGTTTTTACACCAGGGGCCTCATGCTCACCCATCTCTCCTCATCACTGT